TGTATCCGGTACCCCCAGAACATTTTCGGTGTCCAAATACTATCGTCTATATGAATCTTTACCTCTCGACCATTTTGAGACTCCACTTATGTACGTGATCCCATCCAGGATTCCGAACAACATTCGGTCACCAAATCACATAACTCATATAATACAAAATCGTCATCGAACGTTAAACGTGCGGACCCTACGGGTTCGAGAACTATGTAGACATGACCGAGACACCTCTCCGGTCAATAACCAACAGCGAAACCTGGATGCTCATATTGGTTCCCACATATTCTACGAATATCTTTATTGGTCGTACAGTAATGACAACATATGTTATTCCCTTTGTCATCGGTATGTTACTTGCCCGAGATTTGATCGTCGGTATCTTCATACCTAGTTCAGTCTCGTTACCGGCAAGTCTCTTTACTCGTTCTGTAATACATCATCTCATAACTAACTCATTAGTCACATTGCTTTCAAGGCTTATCATGATGTGTATTACCGAGAGGGCCCAGAGATACCTCTCCGATACTCGGAGTGACAAATCCTAATCTCGATCTATGCCAACCCAACAAACACCTTCGGAGATACCTGTAGAGCATCTTTACAATCACCCAGTTACGTTGTGACGTTTGATAACACACAAGGTATTCCTCCGGTATCCGGGAGTTGCATAATCTCATAGTCAATGAAATATGTATATGACATGAAGAAAGCTATAGCAATAAAACTGAACGATCAATATGCTAAGCTAACGGATGGATGTTGTCAATCACATCATTCTCCTAATGATGTGATCCCGTTTATCAAATGACAACACATGTCTATGGTTAGAAAATTTAACCATATTTGATTAACGAGCAATAACAACTTTATTATTGCCTCTATGGCATATTTCCTTCACCGCGTGCGTCCATTTCAACGCAAACGCGGCCCAAAGTTGGGTCGGGAATGAGTCGAAAGCAGACAATAAACGGACGTTGTTCCGTTTGCTCCCACACATTGGGTCGCGTTTTCTGTCCGTTTACCCCCAAACAGATGCGGCCGAACCATTTGGGGTCATGCATTGGAGTTGCCCTAAGCTACTCTTCATCGACAACGGTTGTTGTTGTTGTTGTTCTGATGCGCTCATCCTATGGGGTCTTAGTACGACAACTCTCTCACTGTCTACGAAAATAAGATTTGCCCGGCTGCAGCGAAGGGCAATGACGGCGGCGCACTTTCGGCTCATTTCAATGCTGGTAGTCGTCGCTACGTGGTCTACGGATCTAGATGCAATTTTTATTATTTCTACTTTTCGTTGAACTACAATGATTGAAGATGAAAAGATCAAAAGTTTTTCCGAAAAAAAACTTAACGGTTCCTTGGAGCATGTGATATGTGAAATAGTAAAGCCTTAACCATCTATGGATTGACCAACGAAGCACATGTGGTCAAACATGAGATTTACATGCCAGAACTTAGAACACAAACTTGGAACGACCAGAACTTCCACTCATGAAAAAAACAATTATTTGCTCTCCGAAGTAGACCGAATATATCCATAGCTAATATAATTCAATTACGTTTCAGTCACAAAGCTTAAATAGTACCAACAGAGAAATCAGATAAGCGGCCTCGCATGCGTTGACAAACAAATCTGCAACTTGATACCAAACAGGTATCGAAATCCTACTATTTAAATACCCTAGGACAATCAACGGTATATTACATAGCAATCAGCATCCTTGTTCTCCGGCCAGTTTGAACCATGATGGAGCAGTGTTATACCCCCACTAATCTGTCTATGACTGCTTCAAAGACATGGCTCTGGCGCGAAGGTTGAGAAATATCCCCCTTCAGGAAACAAAAAGATGACCACATAAGAGCAAGCCTTTTCAGTTGGGAAAGAAGCTACCAAAGGCAAAAGAACATTACCAGCAACATGCAACAAAGCTGTGGACAATCACCCGAAACTGCAAAGGCACGTACTGATGGTTTATCCAACCAACTACTGGCCAAAACTGTGCATTGAGAGGATCTTTTAGTGAGCTGTAACGACAAATTGTAAGGCAAGTAGCAATACTGAGAGCAAATTACATACCATCCAAGCAGACAATTGCACTGACAGATATTGTTTCTTCACCCTAGTCTTCACCTCCTTGAAAGGCCTCTCTGCATTCCGACTTGTCAATAACCCATGAGTAGCTACTCCATTCGATTTAAAGGCAACCATCTTACTGGAACACACAACACTATTACATGATTCAGGCAACTGGTAGGATTAAACTGATTCCCCCAGTTTACAGATATCTCGGTCACACAGAGATATAATTGATCGGTCTTTGGACCCTAGATCTATATGACCTCCAATATTAAGGGGAATATGTTTAATAAGGTTTGCTGTATGTTTCAAACGTCATGACTAGGAGGAAAGAAACTCGAAGGGATATTCTGGACCAACAAGCTGAGAAAAGTACAGAAAAGCCTGGTTCTTATGTTTTGTTCAGTAAACGGTTTTCTAAACTCTACTATGCTAATACCTCCTGCTATATCAAGGTAACATACTCGAAAGATGGCAAGTAAAATTTCAAGTCATCATTGGCAGTTGGCATGGTATGATGCCAAAGGAACTCTTCCGATTGGTACAAAATCAAACTATTTGACACTTACAGACTTACTCTCAACAACATATCCATAATAGAATAAGAAGAGTAAATTGTTCCAGGGAGAGGAAGTGATCTGCTCCAGCAACACCTGAAAATAGTACGAAACATCTCAAAGTATTCTGACATACCATCAAGTACAGATTGTCCACCAGTGCTTGTTTGACTTCAATCGTGATGTGGGAAAATTTGCTGGCAACAGATATCATAGACTAAGTTGCTGATGCTTTACTAGTATGGTAAATTCACACTTTTTTTGCGGGAAATTAAAGTCAAACCTTTGCAATACCATGATGTACTGTGCTTTACTTATATGTGCACTATCATTGGCAGCAGAACTTTTTATACATGGCCACCACAAGAAAGAAGTGAACAATGGTGTTGATTATAAGAGCATCTACAACCGGACTGAGCTAATTTGACGTCCTATACTTCCGCGGACGCATCAGAAAAGAAACAATAAACAAAGAGAAAAAGTGGTTCGTGGTGGGCCAAATCCAGCGTGGACTGCCCGGACATGCCCGAGCGCCCTCATATCCTCCCCGCATATGGGCTGGATATGAGGGTTCGTGGACAACCCGGACACATGAGGACAATTTGAGGGGCCTGGTTGGGTGACTTTTTTCCTTCTCTCTCATGACCGGCTGTCTCCCCAGACATATAGGGGGAAAGTTGGGGGTCCGGTTGCAGATGCTCTAAGATGGTCAAAGTTATACCTTCTTAGCTACAGTTTTGGTATCCTTCTTCCCTTTAAAGATATAATCCAACACTTTATGCAGGAAATGCCCAAATGGGCCACCATATGCAAACCCAAATATCTGCAGCAAAAAAGCACACTGTTACATTAGAACGCAAATGCATGCAAGAAAGCATCATAAACAACATAAGAGAAGCATATAACACAAATGGACATCTACAATTATGTTCTTACGAGTTAGCAACATCAGAGAGGATAAATTTTGTTGACAATTTGTGCAGTACTATCTGAAGTGCATCAGATGTCAATATCTTTGGTCCATTAGAGAAAGTAACAGGTGAAACACAGGGTTCAAATCAATGTTTTTGTCTAATCTAAAGTCTTAGAAGCGTCAGTTTTCAATTTCATCTACTTTAATATGACACAACTACACAACTTGCTGTGAGTTTAGGTTATGATGCCGCATGAAATCCAATAACGTAGTATTAGTCAAGACAATAGACGAAATTCCCTAAAAAAAAGGCAATAGACGAAATAGAGAATCCCTCTGCCCAAAAGCCAAGGACAAGTTATCTTTAACAGATTTCCACAGATAGTGTGGATGCATATTATCCTTAACACAACTGTACATTATGCCATACATTCCTCTTTGACGCAATTGTATATCACACCGCAACAATTCACCAACATATATATGAACAAGTGAAGCATAACAAGGCAACGGGAAGTAGCTCTACGTCAGAGAAGCAAGTAAGAACCAAAACAAAGATAATGTGAATCATCATTCTGAGATGAGGTCAGATGTAACAAATCTGTACAGGATACCTAGCCACCAATAAGTCTGCAATTAGCACTAGCAACTAATGTTCCCACTAATTTCTATGTGTGCCAACTCAAATCACACAAGAATAACAACCAATGCGGCACATCGCATCCATGTGTTGAGTATCGTGATTAATTAGGAAACATAGGATAGACTAGGAATTATTCCATCTTGTCTTGTACTCCAAGTTGATCATGTACTCCTATATATAAGCCCACGAGGCTCAAGCAATACAACAATGCATTACACCAATCCCTCTTTCTAACATGGTATCAGCCACTTTCTAACATGGTATCAGCCGCAAGTTCTTAAACCTAGCCACCGCACGCTTCCGCAACACGCCGCCCCTGGGGAGGTCGATCTCCGTGATCTCCGCTGGGGGCCGTGCGACCCGTAGCAAGGTTCGTCCGCCGATTTGTGATCGGCTGCCCTGGTGAGTTTTTCCAATCTCTTGATCGGTTTTCTCTCCGCTAGTCGTTTTCACAGGTATTTTCTTTTTTGGTTCACCGATCATACATCGGATTATGTCGCCCACGGCCGCCGTCAACCCCCGCGCACCTCTACTCCGATATCGGCGCGACCCCCCGCGGCCTCGCGCGACACGCCGGCCTGTTGCGGCCGTTGTCAGTTGCTGCCCGTCGGTCTACACCGGCCGTCGCCGCCTCTACTCCGACATCAGTGCGACCACCCGGCCTCTTCTCCGACCTGACAGCCTCACACGACGCGGCGGCCTTCACGGCCGTCCGCCGCGCGTCTGCCCGCTGGTCGCTTTGTGCCGGCCGTCGCCGCCCTGCTCCGAACGGACTCCTGCATAACCTACTGTCTCTGCCGCCGCCGTATGGCCGTCTCACGCATGGCGCTACGTTCGCCGCTCAGGCGTCGGTGCCGTGCTGCTCGCTCGGGCTTAACCGCTCGGGCGCCGGGCGCTATCCGCTCGTCCGCACGCCGTTCCCCATCGGCCGTCGTCGCCTAGGTCTGCTCGGCCACCTCGCTTCACTATCCGCACCGCCATCATCATCACCGAGCAGCGTCCCCAACCTAGTGTGCGGTTGGATTGACCACCCGCCTGGCCCGCGATCCGTTCCATCCGCGTTGCGCCACCGACCTGATCAGTCGGCCCGACCCGGCTTGCTTGAGCAACCTCGTTGGTTTTCAC